ACAGAGACAGAGAGAGAGAGAGAGAGAGAGAGAGAGAGGCAGAGACACAGGCAGAGGGAGAAGCAGGCTCCATGCAGGGACCCGGACATGGGACTCAATCCCAGGTCTCCAGGATCACGCCCTGTGCTGAAGGCGGTGCAAAACCATTGAGCCCCCCGGGCTCCCCGGCTGTTTGGTTTTTGGTTTTTTAAGCCAATTTCATTAGCCTCACACTATGATTTATGGCTTAAGCCAAAAATGGCTAAGAAGAGAAGGAATATTCTGCTTGATAAGTTTCTGAGGCAGCTAATTATTGATAAATAGAAAATAACTAGCTTAGAAGCGCCTGGGTGGCTCAGTCATTAAGCATCTACCTTTGGCTCAGGTCATGATCCCAGGACTCTGGGATTGAGCCTGAGTCAGGCTCCCTGCTCAGAGGGGAGTCTGCTTCTCCTACTCCCTCTCCATCTCCCCCTGGCTCGTGTTTTCTTGCTTTGCTCTGTCTCTCAAGTAAATAAACAACATCTTAAAAAAAAAAAAAAAACTAGCCTAAGAAAGCAGGGAGAGTACATTGGAGTCATCTAATACGATGTGTAGACCTCGGTTTTATTCCTGAATATGGTTGAATTTGTTCTGGTGTATTTAGAGGTTTGGATGATCTCTCTTGAGACCAGTATTCTGAAGAAGGGTTGGTTTCATTTTTAGATTTTATTTTTTTTATTTATTAATGATCTATATATATCTATCTATATCTATATCTATATCTATCTATCTATCTATCTATCTATATATATATATATATAGAGAGAGAGAGAGAGAGAGAGAGATTGAGAGAGAGAGGCAGAGGCAGAGACAGGCAGAGGGAGAAGTAGGCTCCACTCAAGGAGCGGGACGCAGGACTCAATCCCGGGACTCCAGGATCATGCCCTGGGCCCAAGGCAGGCGCCAAACCACTGAGCCACCCAGGGTTCCCCCTGGTTTCATTTTTAGAGAATAGTGTATATACAAGGGCATTTCCAAATCTGGAAATATAAAATTGCCCACCCAGAAATTTGCTGAGCTTCTAATTTGGCTGTTAATCAAACAATCTAAAAATAAGGGTTGCTTTAAATAAAAGACTAAAATAAATCACTCAAGAGTCAGTCTCAAATCTGATTTTGTATAGTAGGCTAATTATAACACCAAATCACTTATTTATTTCCCCTTAAATCTACCATGATTGCATGTGTTTTTGCACCTAACTAGTATAAACCCTCCTCCTTTTAAGTTAGGTGAGGAAATACACATCTTTCTTTTTGCCTATTAAGAGAGCATATTTTCTTAAAATCTTTTGCCAAGGGAAATGTTTCTCAGAATTCAAAGAGTCCAAAGAAAAAGCTATAATAATGTGAGGCAACTGGAAGGTGTTGAGAAAAAGCAATGAACTTGGAGCAAAAAAAACTGGAGTTTAAATAAGTCCAACCATTACTGTGTTGCCTTAACCAATTTGCCTAACTTCTCTGAACTTCAATTTCTGAAGGAAACAGAGAACAAGTTAAAGGGGATTCAAAGCAACATAGTAATTAGACCCTCCTTAGAGCTGGAAGAAGTCAGGTGGCCTTTATAAACATTCTCTAAATATTTAAACCATTGTGGATAGATGGACTCTTTAAAATTATAACAATAATACCTTCAATTTATATAATTTTGTCCTAGAAGAACTTGTGTAAAAAGGAATAATTTTTTCTAAAAGAATTTAAAGGACTAGAATAAATGACACCTATTAATATCTGCCAGTGTTTTGTCATAATGTTATAATGATAAGCATTCTAAGAACTGAATATAAGCCATGAACTGATGAGATCATAGGTTCTCATAGGGACAAATCCACATCTAATTTGGATCCCATCCAGAACTGATGAGCCTTCTTGCCCAGCCTTAACTTGGAGACAGAGAAAAGAATGTGATGGGCTTGGGAGGAAAAAGCATTCAAAAGCCACATTGAGATGTTTTACATTCCAGGTCCCACACTCCGCATTTTAAAATTAGGTTTTTTATTTTAAAGAAAGTGAGAGTTTTTCTGGCTCCACTGTATGCTCCATATACTTCTTGACATTGTGCTTCTTGCATGCTGTTACTCATATAAAAGAAAATAATATTTGATAAGTATTAATTTTCCAAAAGATAATTTTTTTTACCTAGGCAAATTTATTTGTTTAAATTTTTAAAATTTTACCTAGTCAGATTTAATCCAAGCCAATCTAAACTTCAAACCCAAATCAAACCAAAAGGAGGAAGGGAAAAAACCCCGAAAAATCTTTCTTTTAAGCTAGCTTTCTTTTCATTGAAAAATTAAGTTCTGGGCAGCCGGGGTGCCTCAGTAGTTTAGCGCCACCTTCAGCCCAGGGCCTGATCCTGGTGTCCCAGGATCGAGTCCCACATCAGGCTCCCTGCATGGAACCTGCTTCTCCCTTCTCCCTCTGCCTGTGTCTCTGCCTCTCCTCTCTCTCTCTCTCTCTCTCTATGAATAAATAAATAACATCTTTTAAAAAAAAAGAAAGAAAAATTAAGTTCTGATTTTGTTGGAAACCTTTCCATCCACCTTTTTAAATATAATTTTATCTTCTCATGATGATCCAGGTTGGAATAATAGTTTCAAAGCCTTTTGGAGGTGATAACAACCAATCCTGGTTAATTTTGTAGCTTTTCCTTCCTCCTTATTTCCTTCTTTATTTTATACCTTTTTTCTTTTAAATCACATATCACATACATAATGTTAATTTATTTTAACTTATTGTAACTTATTTTTAAGGTTAATGCAAATTATAACAGATTTATTGATATATAATTCATATAGCATGCAATTCACTCTTTTAAAGGACACAATTCAGTGTTTTTAATATATTCACAGAGTTGTGAAATCATCAACCACTATCTAATTCCAGAACATTTTTATCACTCCCCCCTCCTAGATAAACTCTACTTAATAGCATTTACTTCCCATAACTCCCTCTCCCCAGGCCCTGGCTACCACTAATATTCTTTCTGTTTCTTTGGATTTGCCTATCTTATAAATTTATGTTTCATATAAATGGAATCATACAATATGTGGCTTTTTGTGTCTGGCTTCTTTCATTTAGGAGAAAGTTTTAAAAGTTCCATCTACGTTGTAACATATATCAGTATTTCATTTCTTTTTATTGCCTAATAATATTGCATTGTATGGAGCTACCACATTTTATTTGTTCATTTATCAGTTTATGGACACTTGGGTTATTTCTACCATTAGGCTATTATGTTACTATTAATATTTGTGTGCAAGTTTTTGTGGGGACATATGTCTTCAATCCTCTCTGGTTGTACATAGAGGTGGAATTACTGAATCATATGAGAACTCTATACTTAACTTTTTGAGGAACTGCCAACCTGTTTTCCAAAGTGGCTACACAATTTTACATTCTCATCAGCTGTGTACGAGGGTCCAATTTCTCCATATCCTTGTCAAAATTTGTTGTTCTCTGTCTTTTTTATTATAGCCATCCTAGTACATGTAAACTAGTGTCTGTGATTTTGAGCTAAATGTATTTTGATTTGCAAGAATTTTTCAGAATTGTATGACATTCTTTATGACAAATAGCCATAAAGCACCAGCATTTGTTGAACACTTTTCCAAACAATATCTCATCTTGTGGGGTATAGTTCTTTTTGTTCTACAAAGAGACCAATGTAAAGAAAGTGACTTTTGTGGTTTTAGTTACAAGTGGAGTCAGTATTTGCACCCAAGGCTGTCTGACACCCATGTCATTGTTGTGCAACTTCATTATAAGCTGTGGAGATATATTCCAAATCAGGTCTTCAGATTCACAGGCTTTAAATTTCGATTTTGGGACACCAAAGCCCAATGACTTACTCTGTTCATCAGAGAGACTTTAAGGTCTTTGGGAACATCATGTTGGGGTCCTGGTCCTAAATCCTGGAGAAGGATCAAAAGAGCCTCAGCTGAGTAGCACTTTGTCTCAATTCTTTCTCCTTGCCCACTTTGCTCAGATTTGTCTGATTCTCTGACTATTCAGCTGGGTGATGTAGCCCTTTGTTCATCAGAGAGACTAAAATTTATTGTACTGATATAAATTCCTGCCTCAAAGGGATAATTGATTACATTATCTATCTAGTTGACAGGCCTTTAAAGCCAGAAAATTCAGCATTATGGGAGAAGTAAATCTAATACCTTGGAGAAGAACAGCCAGAGATCCTGTAGTCACAGCTGCCCTAAAGAAACTACCCTTGTTTCTGACTTCCTCTCTTTCCAATTATCCTGACACATTAATCTTATGAATTCCATGTCACCTGACTATACCTTTAAAAAAAAGAATCCAGTCTGTTTGCCTTTCAATCTATTATTCTATTTATACATAATTTTTATTCAAGTAATATGGGCACATGGCTAAGAGTAAGAATTCCTTGCTCCATCCATTCCACCTTTACCCCATTCTCAAGAATCAACCACTGGTAACAAATATCTGGTAGTGCTTTTATGTCTTTACATGTGCTTTTGCTATCATTGTTTGATTTATCAATTTTAGACATTATGAAAATTTGCTTCCTTTATAATAAAAGCCATTATGAAATATTCATTCAGTGATACCACTCCCCACTTTCATAATAACTTAAAAGGTATTACCACACCATAATTTTTAATTTCATACACTGTAGGTATTTTCCTCCATTGCTCATCTTGTAAGATGAGGATATTAGTGACTGTATCCTGGCATTTAGTTCTCCTCTCCTTTCTTTCCCAACTAACTTCTATACTTTGTCATTGCATTGTCAAAGTTGATAACATTTGTGGTCTGTTCTGTCACAATTTAATTTTCCATATGTTGCCTACAGGTTAAGCCTAAAAGCCGAAAGGCAATAAAATGTCATTATGGTGACTCTATGAAAATTATGAATTGATGTGGTATTATACTATGATTATATTTTCCTTGTATAGCTTTTCCCCATGAAGTTTCTAAAACTCCTCCTTTTCTTATACTACTTACCTTTACTTTTTGATTATTTCTATACATATCAGGTGTGGTTTTGTGTGCAGCTTTTTCCTGGAGTCTCCCCGGCACCCCAGGCAAGACCTTCTATCCATCTTTCCCAGTTTGAACTGCCTCAAGGCCAGATGCACAGCTGTCATCCTGGGACTTCTTTTCACCTTCTTGGTTCATTCCCATGTTTCACTGGAATACATCCCCAAGAAATTTTTAAAGAAATGGTGTATGGGAGGTAAATTGTTTTAAGCTGTTCCATATCTGAAAATGGATTTAGTCTATATCACATTTGGATGATAGTTTGTGGTGGCATATAGAATTCCAGGTTCAAAATCATTTTTTCATTAGAACTTTAACAATATTATTCCACTGTTTTTTGGCAACCCAGAGTGTCATTGCAAAGCCCAGTGCTAGGGGTGCCTGCGTGGCTCAGTGGTTGAGCGTCTGCCTTTGGCTTGCATCGTGGTCCTGAGGTCCTAGGATTGAGTCCTGCATCCGGGTTCTTGCAGGGAGCCTGCTTCTCCCTCTACCTATGCCTCTGCCTCTCTCTCTCTCTGTCTCTCATGAATAAATAAATAAATAAAATCTTAAGGAAAAAAAAAAAAAAGAAGAGAATGTCCTTATTTCTATTTTTTCTGTTCTTTATTGGAACTACTATTACTGATGTTAGGTTTTTTGTATTGCTCTTACTCAATTTCTTTAGAAGAGACCTCTCTACATTTTCTTTAAGATAGACTCTAAAAAAAAATCTTCAAGAAAGCTAGAGATGGAAACTTTTTTTTAAAAGATTTATTTATTCATGAGAGACACACAGAGAGAGGCAAAGACCCAGGCAGGAGGAGAAGTAGGCTCCCCAGGGAGCCCGAGGCAGGACTCGATCCTGGATCCCAGTGAAGGCAGACACTCAACTGCTGAGCCACCCAGGTGTGAGATGGGAACTTTTCTGAAAACACACTTTTAAAAAAATGAACTTCTGGGGTTCCTGCTTGGCCCAGTTGGTTAAGCTTCCAACTCTTGGTTTTGCCTCAGGTCATGATCTCAGGGTTGTGAGATCGAGCCTTGCTTCCAGTTCTGCACTTAGCACAGAGTTGGCTGGAGATTCTTTCTCCCTTCCCTTCTGCTCCTCCCCCTCTTGCATGCACTCTCTCAAATAAATAAATAAATAAATAAATAAATATTTTAAAATAAAGTTAACATTTATGGTTTTTCCCAGTTTTATTGAGATTATCGACATACATAACTATATAAATTTAAGGGGTATAGCATAACGGTTTGACTTAAATATATTGTGAAGTGATTAGCACTGTAAGTTTAGTTAGCTTCCATCATCTCATACAATACAAAGAGAAAGCAATAAAAGAAAAGAAAAAAAGCCTTTTTTTTTTTTTTGGTAATGAGAACTCTCAGGGCTTACTCTCTTAACAATTTTCATATATATCACACAGCAGCATTAGCTATTGTCATCATGTTGTATTTTATATCCCTAGTTCTTATTTATCTAATAACTGGAAGCTTGTACTTTTTGACCACCTTCCTCCTGTTCCTCCTGCCCTCACCCTTCACCTCTGATAACCACAAGTCTGATTTCTCTCTCTCTTTGCCCACCGCTCCTTTTTGGTTCCACATATAAGTGAAATCATACAGTATTTGTCTTTCTGTCTGACTTATTTCACTTAGTATAATGCCCTCAAGGTCCATCCATGTTGTTACAAATGGCAGGATATCCTCTCTTTTTTTTTTCTATGGTGGGATAATATTGCATTATATGTATATACCACAACTTCTTTATCCATTTATTCATCAGTAGACATGTAGGTGGTTTCCATGTTTTGGCTATTATAAATAATGCTGCTATGAACATGGGGAATACCTCTGTTTTTGGTCCCACAGCTCACTGCTACCATTTGTTATATCCGGGATATCTGTGTTTTGAACCTCTCTTATATTCTTCAGACTGTTTTCCTCCTTACTTGTATTCCCTGCCCCATCCTCAATACTTACACATACACATACGTTACCTCCCTCTCTCTGTCTAGACTGAGGCTTCTTCTTTCTTCCTTCATCACTAAACATATCACTCTGTCTGATTTCAGTCTTCCAGAAACTGATCTAATCTCTCATCTGTTGTTCACCAGTGGAGCCCTTCCTCTTTTTTTTGTATTAAAATTATTCCTTTTATATTCTTTTTCTGTCATCTTAATAGCATCTCAAGAGGAAGAAGAGATAAATATATGATTGTTTCACCAAACTGACCTCTAATAAATCAAGCTCTTCATCAGAACCTGTCTTTGCTCTGCCCAGATCCTTGTTACTCATTATCATTAACTCAGCTTTCTTTGGATTGCCTGATTTTGCTCTACATGATCCAGTATCTTCACTCAATTGCTCAGGTTTGCCATTATTCTTCTCGGTACGGAGAAATTCCTTCTTGTACTATAAAACAGGTCTGAAAATTACTGTTTGGTGTTTAGGATTAGTGATTATTATGCTGAGAACTATAACTCAACTGTAGTAAAATGATTATTTCCTTTGTATCCTCTCATAGAAATGAAAGTGGTGGAGTAATTAGCTGTGTGTTTGGTGTGGGGTCTAGGGGAGTGAGAAAGGAAGGAGAGGACCAAGTCATAATTTTCATTAAATAGAGCATCTAGAAGGTTATTAAGAATGATGAAGTTTTATTTTTTAAAAAAAGACTTATTTATTTATTTGACAGAGAGAGCATGAGAGGAAGGAATAGAGGGAGAGAGAATCTCAAGCAGGCTCCACACTGAGTGCAGAGCCCTACCTAGGGCTCAGTCTCTTGATGCTAAGATCACGACCTGAGCCAAAACCAAGAGTCAGACACTTAACAGACTGTGCCACCCAGGTGCCCTGATAAACCTTTCTCCATCATCAGTAAAGATAGCCAAGAAGAAATAGGTTTCAGTTGCAATATGATCAGTTTTTTAGAAAAAACTAGAAAATATTTCTGAGTGAGAAAGAATTTCTGTAGAAAATCATGTACTTTGGGACCCCTGGGTGGCGCAGCGGTTTGGCGCCTGCCTTTGGCCCAGGGCGCGATCCTGGAGACCCAGGATCGAATCCCACGTCGGGCTCCCGGTGCATGGAGCCTGCTTCTCCCTCTGCCTGTGTCTCTGCCTCTCTCTCTGTGACTATCAGAAATAAATAAAAATTTAAAAAAAATTTAAAAAAAAGAAAATCATGTACTTTCATTTCTTTAAAAATAATATAGGGACTCATTTTGTTTTCAGTAAGTATTTAAATGTGATCCAAATTAGAAGCAGAAGTATGGACTAGAAGTCCTATCTAGCTTCTTCTCCTAGGATGACGATGAAAAATAACAACAGTAATGGTAATCAGTATGTTTTATTGAGTACTTGCAGTGTGCCAGCTTCTGGGCTAAGTACTTTACATTCCAATCTCATTTAATTCCTATAACAGGCCTATGAGGTAAGAAATATTAATATTTCTACTTGACAGAGAAACCCATTATTCCAGATCCCTAAAGTAATAGATTCAGATCTGGGTCTGTTTGACCACAAGATGCTTGCTTTCAAGATGCCACATGAATTTGTCTCTTCTAGGATGCTGTGATTTTCATTTTCAAAATCAATGCCTTTATCTAGGACCACTATGCCCTTATTGTTCTAAGTAATACTTGTAATTGTTGTTTTTAGTGATTTGTTCTTTACCCTGCATTATTATATCATCGAATCAGATTGAGGTGATGATGCCTCTACTTCTAGAATTTGAACTAGTTTTCTATTGTCATAAAAATGTGCCGTCTTCCAACTGTTTTTCAAAGTCAAATGACTTGTCAATACTTATACAGAATACCCTTAAAACTCTGTATCCACTGTGAAGCTTAGCTACTGTCCTGAATGGACAGTTTCAGAAAATGATTTTCTGGCCCAACCCCATGACAGTCTGTCAACTCTTAACAGCCTTGTGGGAGTGCTGGCAGATGGCAATCAGAGCAGGTGAGCACTTCCTCATAAGGACACTCTTCACAGTAGTCTTTAAAAATTGAAGGCTGCTTCATGTAGGGTAAAAAATCGGGTAAAAGAAAAACCTTTATCCCACGGAGTCTTTAGATAGATTCAATCTTATTTTACAATACTCAGCTATATGTTTATTTTTGCTCTTGTTGGCTTTATTGTTCATTAAAGAATTGTTTGCTCTTTATATGAGTGACTTGAAAAGTGCATATTTATTTTAAATCTACATAAAAGGCACAAGAACAGTAAGAAGAGAAGGGAAGGAAGAAAATAAGGATAAAGAAAAAAAGGGTTTTGCTATGGAAGTTAAGAGAAATCCAATGGCAGCAGATCCCTATTATGTCACAAACGGTTAATTATACCCTAAATTAAATTCTGACACTAATACTGGCCAACATACCACTGCCCACTGCTTCCCCTACTCCATTTCTTCTCCCTCCCTCCTTCTAAACTCAGTTTGACCAAGATTGTCAAAAGGATGATGGCAGAGGCAACAAAAGTAACTAAACAATTTTTGTCTATGATCCTGCCTTTCCCTTTTTTTTTTTAAGATTTTATTTATTTATTCATGAGAGACACACAGAGAGAGAGGCAGAGACACAGGCAGAGGGAGAAGCAGGCTCCATGCAGGGAGCCCGATGTGGGACTCGATTCCGGGTCTCCAGGATCAGGCCCTGGGCCGAAGGTGGCGCTAAACCGCTGAGCCACCCAGGCTGCCCGATCCTGCCTTTCCATTCATGTTTCTGTCTGTAATTATTGACCACCTCCTCCATCCAAGAATATGTGATGATGTTAATATCACAGTAGCTGAGTAAACACGGTTCTCTTAACTTTGCTTTATGTCACTATAAAGAACACACCACTGATAGGTCCTATGATGTCATTGTCACATTCTGGACCTTAGGTTCTTGGGTTGCTCTGCACTAGACAGGATGAAACTGATAGGCTCCTATACACACAAAAAAGGGCATTCTAATCACATTTGTATCATGCTTTAAGCTGCTGTGCTTCACAAATTAGTTTTTCCTCCTTTACGTAGAGGCTTTATAAGAATTCTCTGTATTATTGTCATCGTTACTACTAGCCTCAGCAATGATAAATTTTCCAGTCTTGGGGAAATAGGAGAAGGAGACAGTGACTCTGTCTACACACAATCTGAAGTGCCATAACTGCATTTTGGAAAAAGTACAA